GATGTGATCTAACAAATGCAAGAAAAATTTACTCTTTAATTTCTTTCATTCTGATAAATGTAAGCTGAAAATTTTTTAACACGATTCCTTCAATACATACTCTGATCACGTCTTAAAAAACATGAAACATATTTATTTGGATTATCATAATTTTAATACACTATTAATAAATTAATCGTTTTAGCCAATACTTTAATATTAATCTAGAAATGTTCTTTTAAAATGCTTGGAGAGTGGGGGTGGAACTTCAGAATTTCTAAATAATTACTAAAATGGAATGACACAAAAATTCCTCAAATGAAAAATTAAAGGTTAAATTATTAAGAATTTCAAAATAATCTTAGCATCAATATATGTTTGAAAACATGGGTAGAGTTGACCTTAAAGTATACCTTGTATTATGGCAAAGTTGTTGTTTGATTTATTGCCAAGTTGTTTCATTTATGGTAGCCTGAGTAGTTGAATGTTATGGAAACCCTATTGTGATGTAATTGGATGCATGAATTAGAGAAATTTTGAATCGTCGGATGTTTTGTAAGCGTTTTTGTGGTGTGTGTTCATTTGATTTTTTAGACAGTAGAATGGGCAAATGTAGTAAGATTAATTTGAAGTTTCTGTACGATTTGAAGTGAAAGGGAAAAAGAGCTTTAATTGATAGCTGTGTAAATGAAGGTTTACTTAGTAGCCATTATAAGTGTCCTGTATGCAGGAAGGATATGTGTCTAGTCGAACATAAAAACCATTTAGACAGATTTGAATGGGTTTAGAGGAAGAAAGGTTCAGATGGTCACTATGTGAAGCGTTCGATCAGAAAGAGTACCTGGTTTGAAAAAAGTGGTTAATCTTCGGATTATGGTAACTTATCGATTTTTTGGCGAAAATTTGGCAACCAACCCCGCTACAGCAACCTGCTAGTTTTGTTTTGGACGCCATTTTGTTTTCACGAAGTAAAGGCTTTTTTTTTTTTTTTTTTTTTTTTTTTAACTCATCATTTTTTTCCAACAATCTGCTAGCCGAATTACACTTATACTAGAACTTTTATGCAACAAATATGCTTAATTACGACGAAGATTAGGTGCAAAATTGGGAGAAGTGCAGAATCGCCCACTGCTTGCTGCATTTTTAAGAATTATGCATACACAGTATCATCCATGTACACGTCGACCTATTTTCACTTAAAAAAAAGGTTGATCTTTACAATATGGTAACTGGTAGTTTGGCGACATTTTGGAGGCGATAAAGGTTACTACCTGGGACTTTGGTAATAATGTGAGCAGTACTCAGTTCCGATTACGCATTATTTCGTGTGGGGGAAATGAGAGATCATGGGATATGTCATGTGATATTAATGGACGAATTACCGTTCTTTAATCGGAAAAGGGGGAAATTTGGACAAGTATCTGTGGATGTATATTATTTTGTATTAAGCTTCATTGTGTGTTGTGTGAAGTAGGGTTGAATAATTTTGGGATTGTATGGCGCTGTCTAAAGTGAATTGTAGATGTGATAAAGAGAATTTTTTTTTTATCAAATTCTATCAAATTCGGAAAAAAAAATCGTTCAGTAATTTTATTGAATCCATAATAAAAGTGTATCCACCATGTAAGGAAGATTCGGAAGAAGATTAGGTTAGTTAGACTTTGTTAAGAAATGTGAGTAGTATTCAGTTCTGATTACGCATTATTTTGTGTGAGGGAAATGAGAGATCATGGGATATGTTATGTGAGATTTAATAATGGACGAATTACTGTTCTTTAATCGGGAAAAAATCTGGCAATTTTTGTATTTGGTTTTATTCTGTGTTGTTGTGAAATAGTGTTTGTGAATTTTTGGATCCCATGGCCGTAACTAAAGTGAATTCGAAATGGGTATTTAGTGGTATTGAAAAGGATAGTAATAAATGTTTTTTAAGGTTGTGCGAGAGAGAAATAAACATGTTTTATATTTGTTATTTATTTTACCTGGTATCTTGCTTTGAAAGATAAGTATGATTTTATAGATTCTGAACAGAAGTAAGAAAAGTGTATCCGCCACGTAATCAAGATTCTGAAGAAGATTAGGTAAGTTAGTATTTTAATAATTTGAGGATATTATTTTTATGCATTGTTGTAAATGTAAGGTGGAAAGGAATTTGGTATTATTGGGAAAATTGTTATTAGCAATGATTTAGTTTAAAGTAATTAGGATTGTAAGGTAATTTTTATTAATTTAATGTATGTGCTCATTTATATTTAAGTAGTGTTTTTGAATTTAATTATATTTTAATGAAATGATAGTTTTTTTTTGTGAATTTTATGTTTGTAGGAATTTGGTATATACATTTAAGTTGAAATAAACGTGCATGGAAATAATTTAAATATTTGATATTAAGTATTTGTAATGCTTGAGGTATGAATTCGTTGGTGACGTGTATAATGTAATAGATGATTTAGAGGTAAAAGTTTTTAGATATTCTATTTATTTTATATGTGGAAATGTTGATATTGTAAAGGGTAAATACTTTTTCACGATCAGGTAATTTCATATATGTGTTCTTTTTACCGGGTTTTTAAAGATTGAGAAAATTGTCATGTATTTTGTGAAATTTTTCTAATTTATGAGAAAAAAAAAAAGCAGTGTACATGGATATAGTGAAGAGTGGTGCGCAATGCCATTTTTGTGCAATTCTGGGATGTTTTTTAAGTAAAAATAAGTCGACGTGTACATGGTTTAGTGATATTTAATGAATGAAATGCTAGTTATTTTGTGAATTTTATGCTTGTAGGAATTTGGTATACGTTTAAGTTGAAATAAATGTGCATGGAAATAATTTAAATATTTGATACTAAGTATTTGTAATGCTTGCGGTATGAATTCGTTGGTGACGTGTATAATGTAATAGATGATTTAGAGGTAAAGTTTTTGGATATTTTATTTATTTTATATGTGGAAATGTTCATATTGTAGAGGGTAAATACTTTTTCGCGATCAGGTAATTTCATATATGTTCTTTTCTTTTTACCGGGTTTAAAGATTGAGAAAATTGTCATGTATTTTCGTGAAATTTTTGTAATTTATGAGAAAAAAGCAGTGTACATGGATATAGTGAAGAGTGTGCGCAATGCCATTTTTGTGCAATTCTGGGATGTTTTTTTAAGTAAAAATAAGTCGGTGTGTACATGGTTTATGTGTATGTGTTATTTTGAAAAATGCGTAAGGAGAATGGTATTGTGCAGTTTTCCTAATTTTGCAGTGAATATTTGTCATGATTAAGCAGTTTTGTTTGATAAAATTTCTAGCATAAAGTGTAATTCGGCTAGTAGATTGTTGGAAGAAGTGTTCAGTAGATAAAAAGAAAAGAAACATGTCTTTACTTCGTGAAGACAAAATGGCGGCGTGGGAAAAAAAATAGAGGGTTGCTGTAGGAGAGTTGGTTGCCAAATTTTCGCCAAGTTACCATAATGTAAAGATCAACCAAAAAAAATTCCAGAATTGCACAAAAATGGCATTGCGCACACTCTTGACTTATCCATGTACACTGCTAAAGTCCTAGCTACTAACCTTTATCGCCTTACCAAAATGTCGCCAAACTACCTGTTACCCTATTCCAAAGATTAGCAGAAAAGTCATTTGAGTATGATTGATATTTTGATTTTTACGTGGCTCTGGGTGTACGAAGCAAACTAAAAAATCATGGTAAGTGAATATTTGCTTTTGGTAGTGTTTAAGTGTATAACATGTTTCTCCTTTTTTATGATATTTTATTGTTTGGTTTAAAATGTATTTTATTGAGATTATATATTTTTTGTTTGCCTATATTGTAGAATTTGGTGGTCTTTTGACTTTTTAAGTGAAAATATATGTACACGGACAAAGTAAAGGGAGTGCGCAATGCAAGTTTGTGCAATTCTGGGATTTTTTTTTAAAGTAAAAATAGGTCGATGTGTATATGGATAAAGTTAAAAAAGTGCACAATGCCATTTTTGTGCAATTTGGGGATTTTTTTTAAAGTGAAAATAAGTCGATGTGTACATGAATACCGAGTTTGTGCAATTGTTTGTCTTGTTAATTTGGCTTTGTGTAGCAGCGATTTTTGCCCCCAAAATCGTCGCTTTGCAAGCCAAAATAACGAGTCTAAGAATTGCACAAAATCGGCATCCATGTACCGCCAAAAATCGCCATGTTGTACCCTAAACTATACTTTTACCGAAAACATATTACAGAAATACTTATAATTTTAAATGTATAATTTTAATTCCTTTATCCATCTGAAATATAAGATTACTGATTACTAAATAAATTTTCTAATTTTTGTAGCATTAAAAAAATAATAATAATAATAGCATTTTACATTTTCTAAAATCTCATTATAAGTTCATTTTTTTATTTGTATAGCACTATTAACATTACACTGTTTATGAAGGGAAAATATTTGCTTATGTTCATACGCAATTCCCCAGATTTCATCCGACTGCATACAAAAAAGTAAAATTTGAAAACAAATTTTGATTTAAATAATCAAATATTTTACGTTCTACTTTATGAAACAAGAATTTCAATTCTTATCCAATAGGTTTGGAGAATTACATTTAAGACCAGATTAATTAGGTCACAGAAATGTTTTAAGTAAAATATACACGTCATAAAATTCTATTCTAGAATATAAGTCAAATTATTAGCACTGTATTTAAAGAAAAAAATATACACAATAAAAGCATGATTTTAAAATTTAAAAAATTATTATAATAATTAGCAAAATTCATAAATACATCTAAGAATAGCTCAATTTTTGAAAGTTTCCATTCTCTATAATTTCAGTAGTTTATTAAATAATTACGGCATTTAAACAAACATTGCTCTAAAATATAAACTCTTACAGTTTAAAGAAAAAAATAGACGCAAAATAAAGATACTGAATCATTCAATATGTTATTAAACTTTCACAATTTTTAAAGGGCAAATGAGCAGCTGTTTTCTAACACATTATGCGAAAAAATTTCTGACAGTATTTATATAATTACCCAAAATATCACATTAAAAATCAATAGCATCAATTTCATGCATGTTACAGCTGCAACAGTCTGTAATCTTCGACTCATACTGTATGCTTAAAAACCACACAATCACAGACACAGTTTGCCTACTACGTACTAAAACTGCACAATAGCGTTAAACTAGAAATTTATCACAGCAACAGCCGATTGCGCTTATCTTTTCACTTCTGAGGTTTCACTCAACTACCTGTTATTCAACATGTCTTGATCGAGGAAGTGAAATGAAACTGCTGATAACATGTTGCAGTTGACTGCACAAAGAAGACTCAGTTTCGGTTTCTTTACGCGGTAAGAATATAAAGTAACAGTTTTCTTTAAATTAAAGAGCGTTGGAATGAAAGGAAATAAAATGCAAATTGTTTACATATCTGTTTAGCTATGGTTTTACGGACAGAAAATATTTTATGAAATCTCAAAAAATTGATTTATCGATGTTCATATTAAACTTAATCACAAGGGCAAAATTTTGAACATTTTTTAATAAATCAGTTTCTAAAAACATTTATAGTTCACATAGCGAGACCATTTTTAGAGGTAGATACCTTCAAAATTCTTAAATTTATTCTACATGTCTTAAGGTAATAATTGCTCTCGATGATACATTTACAGTGGTCTGTTCCCTGTTCTACCTCAATGTGCCTTTTCTTTTCCTCCTCAGTAAATTTAAAAGTTATGACAAATGGCATAGCTATCTAATCTTTATAACTGTAGTTTAGAAATTTAAAGCAGAAGATGGAGTGGCATCATTCAGGAAATGCCAGAATTTCCCTCAGTCTAAGATATTTTAAGTAATTATATAGTTCCAGACGAATAAATTTCTGTGTTCCAGGTAGAACTGTTTTTGTAGCTATTAATATATTTTTAACATTAGAAAAACAACTTATTTGAATAGCTTTTAATACGTATCGCATCTCGTTAATTTTAGCGCTCCAGGTGGCTCCTCCTATAAGCCAACAATAAATCAGGCGTTGTTGTGCTCTGTTACTTCAAAACAGGAATTTCAGGATCATTTTTCACCGTCTGACTTGCCTCGCAACCATGGGAATGTGAGCTATACAGGTGGTTCGTTTATCCTAAATTTTTCTTCCACTCGATTTACATTTATTGCGTTTCGTTTCGTGAAAAGCACAAGAAGGAAGACTGGCTTCAAATACTATCTGAAATGAGATGGAAAAAATAAGGGTATCGCGGTAAAGGTTATAAAATAAAGAGGTGCACTTTCGACTGTTTAAAGTAATTGTTTATAAGAATAGAATAATATATATTACTGAGAGCTGGATCAATTAAAGGTTCAATTACAATGCTCATAGGCTTCATGCCTTCATCCCCACATCATCAAAGATTAGATAATCATTATCAAAAAGAGGGGTCGGCAAAGAGATAAAATTTAGTGTCGAATTGTCAAAATAACAAAAGGATAACTACCTTCCACAATGAAAAAGATAAAAACATTGAAGGACTTAATTAATTTAGTAATTTTTAGATCGAATAAAGGGCCAGGATAAATTTTGATCATAAAAGAGTTACATCGTGAATTTTGAAAAGATTCCATACTTCCTTGATCAATGACCTTGCAGTTTTAACAATACGAGAAAGGAATCACTCACGAACGGTCATTCAAGTCGCAAGTGATTCGGGTCTGGGGAGGGAAGGGAGCGGGGAACTCATTAGGCGAGTTTAGATTTAAAGAGACAGGGCTAGAACTGCCTTTGAAAAAAAGTCGTAAAATTTATCAACTAGATATAATTTTAATTTATACCTACATTGTTGAAAAAGTTAAATGAAAATTTAAATTATTAAAAAGTGCTTTTATTAACTTTAAATCTCTCCATTGGTTAATCAATAGTAAACTGATTAAATATGAAAAATTAAATAAAAATCTTATGCTTTTACTGAATCGCAACGCCCTAAGAAGCAGCTCTTCCTGAGTACGCGTGAAAGCTAAAAGAAATATCTTATATTTCATGCAGTCGCAATTCTCACCAGCTTTCAGATTCTTTACTCGTCCATCAATTTTTTTAAGCACATTCATGTCTACAAATTTTGTTTTTATAATACAGGATTTTAATCGTTCAGTTAAAAAAAAAATATACTTCCTTTCAGGTCTAATAACAACAAATGTGAACAAATAACTTGCAAGCAAAATATATGCTAGCGAAATTCTTAGTTTTAACTGATTGTGGCAAAGAATGTGAGAGATATTTGCCTGAAGGAAGAGATGACTTTATCAAAGTCTTCAGGTATTTGAACTGGTTCATGTTATACTCGAGAAAAAAGCAATGAAAATGCCATGTAGTCAATCTCGAAATTCGATCCAGACTAAACAAATAGTGCCCAGCTGTCGTATCCACTTGTGCACCTGTAGGCCGCTGTTGGGAATTAAATCGATTTTCTTTATTTCTGGAAATTTCATTTTAGAATCTTCACATCACCTGCATCTTTTATTCTTGATCGGGCATTTTACTAAATACTTGTTTCTTATGTCTTTGTTGTTAGGTTAAGTTGGTCATTAATAATTCAGGTATGTTTAGTTCGTTGTGAAAATTTTCGGGGGTTATTCAACACTTACCTATATGATAACTATAAATTAATTATTTCTTCATCCATTGAAAAAAATGGTCCGTTTTTTTTTTTTTTTTTTGTTTTTTTTTTTTTTTTCACAATAACTGAGTAAAGAGGGATTACTTTATATAGTATTCAATGCCTTTTTATCCCGCTAAGACGAGAAACTTCTTTCTTAATAAAATATACCTAAAACAAAAATGTGCATTAATATGGAAGATTATTTTGATAATTTGGGGTGGATTCTTGCTTTTAATGAAAGCAGTAAGTACATACATTAATTGAAATCCGTCTCGCAGATCCGTTTTAATTATGCGACGTATGCAAGACTACCTTACAAGAGTAAGTATCTACAGTCAGTAGGATTTTTGAGACAGAAGACTCGAAAAATGAGCAATGCCCTTGCCGGAACTCGAACCTGGACCTCTGGAATTCGCGCCTAGTTACACCACGAAGGCATGCAGAAAGGAGGGAGAAAATACTTTTTATAACCCCCCTTTTAAAGGGCGAATAGGAAATTAGTCGCCAAATCCTGGTGGTGAAGAATCATTATCCACCACCTTTTAGTTAGGGTACCACTGTAGAGTCATTAAGATTTTTAAAACGGGAGACGCAAAAAATGAGTAATGCCCTCCCATGTACTCGATAATACCTGGACTACCTGAACCTGCTCAAACTACCAGTGTTCAGCGACTTAGCCATTCAACCGCTCATGGCGTTTATTAGCATTTATCTCAAAAGTCTTCGCAAAATAATTGCGTAAATACAGTTATTAAGTAATGTCGAATTAATGTATTAAATAAGTTTTCAATATAAAGAAAAACTTTCACTCAATTTATTGCTATCAGCACTGGCATCTGGAAAGAAAATAATTTTTTTTTTTCTGATAATAAAATATCTTTTCAATTGCAGTGTTTTTGCGCAAAATATCTAACACTTTTACGCTCTTATTGTTTCATTTCATTTATATTCCATTAATATATGAACAAAAGACTAATAGATTTCTTTCTAAAAAAAGTTCCAAGAAACGGTGGAGATTTCCCCTCCCCATGCGGATTTTAAAATTTTGTTGTATTCCAGATTTTAATAAATTATTTAAACAAATTATTGGTCTCCATAAATTCTTTCGGCATATTCATTTACTCAATTTAATTTCTTGAGTAGAATATTTTAATTTCTACATTTTAGAATTTTTTACTTATGTTTGCGTTTATAGTAAGTAGTCAGTCCCACATACAAATTGCGAAATTCAGGCATGCTCAAAACAGTGTTGTCATTTTAGAAAGCAGAAAGAAAATACCATTAAAAACTCCACTTGAAATATGAAGGCAAACAAAAAGTTAATTTTGACATTATATCTTTTTGATAAATCAGAAACTGTAATCAGCTTTTAATACGAAGTATGAATACATAGTCTATTATATATTATATGATTTATTAAAAATGCATTTTTCATTGCATTTCTGAATTTTTCCTTTGGACTTCCATTACTATAAAGTATGGAAGTTGTAAAACCATTTATCTCCATTCAATAAGCTTGCAGAATAATATCCTTGTTGTCTTAGGATAAGGCTTCACTCAGAAGACTCTTCCGTAAAGTGCGCTATTCAAACAGATTTCACACCCTATTAAGAGCTTTTTGCTAATGACAGCCGCCTGCGGAAATGCAGGGGTGGGGAGGAAGATCTCGCTCAGCATCTCAACACGTCTTAAGCATTTATTGGAAATCTTGCCTTTGTGTATACACGTCTTAATCATTTTTCCAGAATTTCAGTTCCGTGTATACGCGTCTTAAGCACTTTTAGAGCGATCTCTGGAAATGTTTAAACAGGTCTTAAGCAGTTAAAGGGTTAATAAATGTAATAAAATATATTTCATACAAAAATATACATAAATCTAATAACGAAAAAAACTTCCCATATTCATGTCTAAAATAGAATAATAACCTAACAAACAACATACACGAAGCACTATTTAAGAAAAGACATGAACTAGCAGTGTTTGAAAGTATGAAGATAACAGAACTAAAATTTCCAATCAATAAAATATTATTTGTGTTTTGTAAATAGTAAGCAATTAAAAGTGCAATAATTATGGACTGCAGTATTTACTAGTAATACTGACGTTTCTTAACACCATTTCTTTCGATCATATGTAAGTGTATTTACCTATTTTTAGTTTCTACATTTTAGAATAGTGGTAGATTACAATGATTATTTCATGCACTTTTTATAATAAGTAACTTTCCTTTTGTTACAGTACAGAATTAATTGAAATAATATAGTATACGATAGTAAGCTAAAGAGCGCACGATGAAACACTTTGTGTCTATTTATTATGAATTTCTTTGTTATCACAAGCCCATAAAAAGTAAGCGAAGAAAATAGAATATACTTTAATTTAATAAAAAATAAAACCTAATTTCCAACATTATTGAGATAATCTAATAAACATACATAACGGGAATATAAAAAAAAATGCGAATTACACAGTGTTTGGAAGAATAGATACTAAACGAAAAGTAATAAAACTGCAATTTGCAATCAATAAAAAAATATTTTAGTGTTTTTTAATATTACACAGTTAAATATCACATAATTATAGATTA